GACTCTGCAATCAAGCAGACGCAGCTCTAGGTGAAACCAATATTGGCTCAGCTACAAATCAGATGTGCAGGAACATTATTAACAGGCACATCGAAACAATCAATCACACCATCGAGTCAACCGAACGGTTTCATCAAACTATGCTACAGCATATTGAAGGCTTCGACGATGAAGAAGTCCTCAATGCAGCATTTGTTCCGGTTATTGAGGTACTCCAACGTAGCCTTACGGACGATGGAGCAATCGTCATAAATGACGACGACATGACGGTAACCATGCCGCTGGCGAGGTATACAAGCATCCTTGATTCAACAGTAGCTCTGAGAAACTCTACCCAGAGGGACAGAGACGAAAGAAAAGAGCACATTGAGAAGCATGTTGACACTCTATCCAGAGTACAGAACCTTGTCGCTGCATTACAAAATGCAAAGACGATCTTCAATCAACTACTCCACAACTCTCTTGAAATCGAGAGAAGACACAACAACCTCCGGAATGTTCTGGAGAGCCTCTTCGACGACCCAAGTTCTGAGGATGACTCAGAAGAAGAGGAAGAGGAAGATGACGGACCACCGTCACCGTCAACACACCAACATTGGGATAGCAGACATGCTAATGCTTTATCTCCATCAGGAGACGAGTCAGAGCACTCCTGGCCATCTTCCGATGGACAAGTCCGCCAAGGGGCAAAAGCAAAAGCAAAGGCTAAACAGCCGGCATGTCCTCAAGGTTATCCCAAGGCAACCAGCTCACAAGCTGCGCCGAAGGCCAAGGCAGTGCCAGAAACGTCCGATCACGGATATGGCATTCCAGATGCTGCTTTTACCAGAGCTGAGAATCGATTACTTGGTATTCACTCCAGTAGTGAGGAAGACCATTCAGACCCGGATGAGCCACATCCGAACACTCTCAGCAGATCTTATGATCCGAACCTGGATCGAGCACAGAGGTGAATAACCCTCAGCAGCAGCAAGAAAAGAAAGCCAACACTCTAACAAGATTTCAGTGAGCCGTTGCATAATTCGAAGTAGGAGTAGCAGTCACAGACCTGATCATGTACAGAAGATCTCTCTTTGACAAGATTCATGTTTGCAGACTCAAAAGTGAGTGAGTGTGAACTTTTCGTAACTTATGGAATATCTAAGATATCATTCTTAACAATGAGTCATACTCCGCTAGTCTTGAGTTCAGTGAGCACTTTCAAGTGTATATGTGTGAACACGCGGCCATGCTTTCAGTAAAAGAAAATTAGTGTCTGTTTGTTTGCCTAAACCTCTAAAGGGGTGGTACTTACAGCAATGGCTTGGCTGCATGCTCACATGTATACATGTCCGCTGCTCGCTGGCTCAAGTGGTTTTACCGACTTGACAACAAGCTCTCTCTGCGTAGCAGAACAAAACAATCGCTGTCCGTGTGCTGGGCGTTGCCTTAGATCCCACGGGACTCAACAGGGTCATACACTCCCACAGGAGTAATCCTAAGGGGTGTATCGGCTCACCCCCCCTTAGGGGAGACCCCTTTAAAGGGGGCTTTAAAGGGGCTTAAAGGCGGGCTTCAAGGGGGGCTTAAGCCCCCCTTTGTCAAAGGGGGTGGGGCCCATCCTCTTTCAAACCCAGGTTCAAACAACTGTTTTGAAGACGGAGTTGTTCAAAACCGAGGTAACCTGGGTTGGAAACCCAGGTTCGAACCCACTCGAAATCGCTTCATGGAGGCTTTTGCCAAGGAAAAGAAAAAAGAGAGAAGGAACATTTACCAGTGCTTGAAATCCAAGTTCAAACACAGGTGTTCAAAGCCAGCGAACACTGGTGTTCGAACCCTGAAACGAACACCAGTGCAGCCACCATCTCTTCAGTCCAAGCGGCATTCCCGGTTTCCTTCTCATACCCCACGAGCCAGAGGTGGGAGTCTTTTGATCGACGCACCTGCTCAAGAGTCTCACTCTTGCAATTCTCCGGCATGCACTTGAAGAGGAGCATCAGCTTCTCAGCTTCTGACAGGCGTACAGACGTTCTCAAACTCAATGCGCTCCTCGCAGCTGGTCCCTTCTCCAAGGTGTCTTGTCGCACCACATGCGCGGAGAGATGGAGCAGTTGCTCCGAGGGGACGGTTGAGGATAGAGTGGGGCTACGTGCTGATATTGGTCGCCCACATGAGGAGACCAATGCCGGCTTCAAGGTCTTTCCTAGGGTCCTAGGGACCTTCTTCTTGGCCAGGAGGCCTCTGAGCTGGTCAGAGCTTGGCTCGTAACTCTACGGTTTCAAGGCGAAAGTTGAAGTGCCAGCCGCACCAGACAAGGCTGTCTCCTACCGTGGCCTTCTTCCAGCTGATGGGGGCCGCAAGGCTGGAGAGAATGGCCATGTGCTCGGATTAAGGCTGCGAGGAGATCATCAACGTTTTGCCAGGCTTTGTGTGGCGCGAAGGCAAGGGCGTGATGGGCTATCCTGGTGATACAGCCTCCAAGCGTTGCCACCAGTAGGTTGAGAACTTGGCTCCGAAGTGGCAGATAACATACCTGTAAAGGATCTTCTCAAACATGAACAGCAGAAGGCCTTGCTCAGAGCTACGGACTTTGACACGTTTATGGGCTGCCTTGAAATCTATGCTGGCTGCCAGGAAGGCACTCCTAGGGTCTGAGGGCATGAAGGTAGCTCGGACGTCATTGACCGTTGGCATTGCGACGGCTTCGGGTGTACGGCACATCGGGTTAACCTGGCATACCGTGCAGACATTAGTAACGTAAATAGAAATGGTGAGAGGGGGCACCCTTGACGAATCCCAGATCCTGCGATTTGTATTCTGAACATTGGGTATCCATTACTGTGGATCTTGGTACATGTCAGCAATCAGCTGCAATGCAGCTGCAACATATTAGGGGGTACTTTTAATTTGCAAAGAACCTGTAAAAGCTTTGTTTGGTTCACTTTGTCGAAAGCTTTCTCCCAATCTAATAGAATAAGTGACAGGTTTGTATGTTGTGTTTCAGCGAGGTCCAATAATCTTCTTGCTATGAAAATAGCTTGTGTCGTTGACTTCTTGGGGCGAAAACCGTACTGTGTTTCCGAATCCATGGGTCGCATGCATGTAGTAATCGCGTTCTTATCATACCTGCTAGCATTTTATAGAACACTTGCAATAATGCAATTGGTCTGTAGTTTTGTTTTTGCGTGGCATCTCCTTTCTTGTAAATAGCTACTAAATTGGCCTTTTTAAAAGACTCCGGGAACTCGTGGCTTTGAATCATGTCGTCGTTTGGCGATAGCAAAGACTTTCGATCTGTAACGGAAAGCCATTTCACTAGCTCTGCTCGGCATCCATCTGGTCCTGGAGTTTTGTTGTTTTTTTGCGCATCGATTGTCTTGTCAAGTTCCGGCAGAGTAAACAGTTCGTCATTCATATTGCTTGTACCTTCTATAAGTGGAGTTGCCTCTTTTTCTGGATCTAGATAATTCTCTTCCGGTTGGGCCCACTGTACCTCGGCAAAATATTCCGCTGCCGTTGATGGAAAACCCTTTTCTTTGATGAGCTCACCATGCTTGTTTTTGAATTTGTATCGTTTGGGTTGGAAGGTCTTTCTTGCTTTCTTTAGGCCATCCCATTTGTATCCTTCCTTTGTGATTTCTTCAAGTTCCTGTAGTAGCACCCGTTCTTTGTCTTTTGCCCTTGCAAACGAATGTTCTTAGTTAAGTCTCGGGCCTTTATGAGATCATCTTCTTCGATCGCTTTCTGTTTGGCCTCGATTAAATTCCAGGTTGTTTCAGAAAGATAGGGTTTTCTGTTCAGCAGGTATACGTGTGAAGCATTTATCCGCCGATTCGATGAGCATATCAGCAAGAGTGTCAAAAGCTTTTTTGCAATTCCAATTGTCCAGCTGCCGTTGTTCCTCTATTTTCTGCTCGACGAAAAGATTGTAAGCCTGTTTTTGGGTCTGGGTAGGAGTCCTGTAGCTTTTCGGGAAAGGTTGTCGCTTGTCTCTCTTTTTCTGGGCCAATTTCAAGCGCACATCGGCAATCAGAAGGGCAGAGTGGCCGTGCCAACATTCGGCCTTTCTCGTGTCTGAGGTCTTCGCTAACCCACGAGAGGCGCCATGCCATATGCCAGCTAGGAGTTTCGCACTCATTCGGCGACAGCCGTCGGGTCGTGCATCATTGCACTGTCAGGAGTTTTTTGGACCTCTTGGCCGAGGCACGAAGCCCGGAGACAGCGTCTGTCAGGCGATAAGACTCCAAGGTTTCCCCCGGGCGAGAGGAGGTCTTAGGTCACTGCAAGGCTGGAAGTCTTCCAGTGGCACTTGGTGTCTCTTCAGACTGTCAATCATACATAGCTGGCAGTGAGAAGCGGATGACGAGGGATGCTTGCTCCGAGATGCCGAGATGTGTTGCTTGTCCAAGAAATCTTCAGCATGCAACCTCCCCGCATGTCTGACAAGGGTTGTTCAGACCACCGGAGAGGGACAACCTCCCGGACGCCTGGCGACAAGCAGTCGGAAGAAGAGTGAAGCACACCTGCGTGCAGTCAGGCAGGCCGCATCGAGTCTGGAGGGCACAGCTGCAGTGAAGATCTCGCAGGCTTTGCCAGCCATTGGTTGTCGCACAAATGTTCCGGGGTTGCTCTGCATGCCAGCTTGTTAGCAGTGCGAGGCTTCTTGAGCCTGGTGTTGGACGCGGCGTGAATGTTTTAGCCTAGTGACCTTGTTATTGATGTAATGACAGCTGGGATCAGAAACATTCCGGCAATCACTTTGTTCGTTGTGTCACGACCCGATTTTCTCGCAAGGTCAAACCCCGGCTTCCCCAGGTTGTGCATACTCCGCAGGCGCAGAATGCCCAAGCTGTTGTTGCAGCTTCAACGCAGCATCGAGCCGCTTTTTTAGCATTCTTGCAGCACGCTTTTTCATCGCATGGCATGTTGGAGCAACAGTGGCCCAGTAAGCAAGGCGCTTCAAGACTAGTTTTTTGCAGCCATGCCAAGCCCGCTGTGCTCCGTGGCCTCATAGACTTGCCATGCCGACAATTTTTCCTGGCGAGTACAAGCAGCAATCCGTCTCTCTGAGGTGAGCAGGGAGTTGCCAGCTTAGCCTGTACATGCCTCGAAGACAGAATGTGTCCATACACCTGGCAAACTCAATCTGCAGGATACCGTGCTTCATCATCCTCTGTGGCCTCTGTGTGCTTTCGTTGGTGGTGAATCCGCCGAAGTCCTTCCACTGGAGGCAGGAAGTGCCTCAGATCGCATGCTGTCGCGTGTTGAGTCAATTGCCACGTTAATGGGATTTCTTGCATCAGGCGCCTGCTCGAATTCCTTTACGCGAATATCGGGGGGAGCGGCGCAAAGTGCTCGAGCGATTTGTTTACGGGCTTCGAGCTCCACGATGGAGAGTTCATGCAGGCAATTGGGAACCTTCCTGTATCATTGCCGATTTATCGGCGGATTGTGATCAACGATCAAGGTCGACTGGTCTTTTGGCCAATCTCGGCAGACATCGAGAACCTGCAGACCAAAGTTAGTTACGATCTTGAGGTGGGGCGCTTGTTTGCAGATCTTGGAGATTGGATCATTGATTTCTGTAAGATCAGTGACGGAGGGTTGGCGGTAGTGTCGATGTCTGGGACAGCAGCTTCCATGGTAGGTACTTTGAGCGTCCTAGACAAAGCCGCAGTTGCAGACAACGGAGCTCCGTCAAGAAGTATGCCCATTCCCTTCAGTCTTTTCGATGGGTTTGACTATGTTGGAGGTGTCGTGGAGTTGCGCAGCCAGATTATTGTGCAAGGGGTAGACAAAATCGCGTTCTGGCATGCTGACGCTGCGCATGACGAGCTACCCTGTGCAGTGTGGTCCAATTCCCAGCCGAGTATCCTTCGTCAGATGACATGCCGCGATGGGAGTTTGGCTATTCTGATGTGTGACTGGAAGGACCAAAATAGGTGTGACGTTGTGATACTTCACCTGACCACCTGCGGGGTGGCTTCCAGCCAACGTTTTCACGTCAATGGCACCTATCCACGCTTAGCGGCCATGCCTGATAATCGTTTAGCATTGGCATATGAAAGACACTACGAGACACAGCACGAAACAATCCTGTCAATATTCGACATGTCCTCCTTGACGGAAATATCCCAGGTGGGGACAAAGTTGAAGACATATCCAGGAAGATTTTCATGCATTTGTCAGTACACTCGCTGCACACCCGTTGGGTTATGGTCCATTGGCAGCAACGGATTGGTGCTTTATGCCGGTGGCGGAGTGGACCTTGCGCTGTATTTTTTTGACACAGCTCAGCTCTCCAAGAACTGGGTGCGAAGAATCCCTGTCGGCGCGGATGTCCGCCCCATGGTGGCGGATTTGCAGGATGGTCTCTTGGCACTGGCAGGCATGGGAAGGAATGGTGAAATGCACCTCGCAACGCATGCAGGTGAAAGAATCGGTCGGAGTTTAGTATGCGGTCAAGATTCGACAAATGCTTTCGAGACTGCCGCATCCTGGGGTCAGCACGGAGTGGTGGTCATGGGCTACAAGAAGTTGTTCATGTTTAACTATTCCAAAGTCCTGACCTCGTCAACCTGGATGGAATACAACGGCACGTTGAAAGGCTTGGGGAGCTGCATGGATTGCTTAACTGTCGCGGCAGCTGCCGATGGTATCGCAGTGTCATTTCGCGATCAGGGTGCCCCATCGGCTTCATCTTGGAACATACCCCCTATGACTGCTAGCTGTCGCTTCCGACATGGTTTAGATTACGGGATTAGAGGTTCTTTTGTCTAGGAATCAACCACGGATATTGCTTTGGCCCCTGATGTTTGTCCGGTTAAACAAAGGTGCATACTTCTTCAACGATTCGGCACTTCGTGGCAGCTGGGAAGCTTCAGCTGTTTTTGAACCAGCTGGACCTATGATAACACTAAGCCGCTTCGTGTTGGTCGGGTCGTCATCTGACAACCTCCACATTCATGTCTGGACCATGGCTGGCGAGCGGTTTGGACACACAGTTGGTGAAGGGGATGCGGTGCAATGGCCGCTTGTGCTGAAACCGTCCTGCACCATAGACATGGCGCATGTTGCCCTCGCAGCCACCGGTGATGGTGGCCTAGTGGTGCAGACGAATCCGTTTGGCTACCAGCTGTTGGATTCCTTTGCCATGGGCTGTGAACGGCCTGGAGTTGTGCTGCACTGCTCGCTGTGCACAGAGCTGAAGGCGGCTGCCCCATGCTGTGACGGAGGTCTTGCCGTAGGAAGTGACTCTGCTCTGAGTCTTTTCGACTCCAGAGCCGTGTTGCAAGGTGGCTGGGCATTCCACGAGATTGGAATACCAGGCATGCTTCAGACCGTGGTCCCTTTTCGGGCTGGAGGCTTAGTTCTGGGTACCACTTTTCCCAACTCAATCCTGGTCTATCAGCCTGGGGATCTCGAGATTGGACGCGCCTCTGCTCAGTTCGACCCCATGCGAGAACCACACAGTGTGGCCATCTGGGCGAAGGACCAGACTCAGACTCTCCCAGATTTGTTGTTAGCCGAATCCATCGTCTTTCGTCCACAGAAGTGCCCGGACCAGACCTATGGACAGAGAGGGAGCTGCAAGCCGTGCCCCGATGGCTTGTTGTCGTTGCAGGGTTCGCAATCGTGCAGTTTCAGATCCAGAGAGTACTGGGTATGGTTGCTACTGACAAGTGCTGGTTGTTGCGCAGCATCCTTAGTCGTCGGGCACCAGCTTGGGCGAAGGGTGTTTGCGTCCATCAACGGCCCTGAGTCAATGAAGTGGGGGCTTGGACTCTTGAGTGTGGCTGCCGCTTCTCAGGTTGGCTCCGTGCTCTGCCAGGTGCATCATACCAGAGGGCCCCTGTTGTGGGCCGCCACCGTCTCTACTGTCTTGCTGCTTCTGTTCTCAATAGATTGGTGGGCTTACCAGCGGTATCAAAGTGGCCGAAAGGTCTCTGAGCTTTCTGCGCTGTCAGGAGTTCTGTTCTTGCAGATAGCACTTGCTGTCATGACAAGTTTCATGCTACTCACAGAAGAAAGCAGGATGCAACCTGAGCATCCAGTGCTGACGGTCTTTGGGCGTAGCAGGCTTGAGAAGAAATGGCTTTGCCTCACCTTGCTTTCCAGCCACCTGGCAACGTTAGTCTGTGCGACTGCTTGCTTGTCAGCCAGGGCTGAGCCAGACGTCTGCAACCGTTTGAGTGGTGTGTTGTTCCTAGAGGAACACATTCCGCACACTTGTGGAGGAAGTTGCCAGGGTCGATGCTCACGCTGCTGCTCGTGTTGGAGCCTCTTTCTCGAGACTGGGAGAGTCTTTGTCGAGTTTCTTAAGAGTTGGACTGGGCGGCACGTGGTGATGCTTACAAACGCTTTGGTGTCGACAGTGGCGTGTATAGTCCAGGTTTGCCAATCTGTGCCGAGCCCACGTGATGGCCCACTGCTGCTGGTCGCATGTTTTGGGTGTCTCTCGATCGTGAACGGCCTAATGGCAGTTGCTTCTGAGCGGCGACGATGGCCGGCGCTGTATGACAGACACTTCCGGTGGGGCACTTTATGGAAGGCCGCCCTCTTTGTGGGCAAGGTAGTCTTGCTCGCCGCACCCATGCCGAGCTCGCTGGTCGACATGGACTTTTTGGGCAGCTGTGGACCTTTCTGTTCCGATGGGTGCGAGAAGAGCGGTGGGTACTGCGTGCAAGTGAAATTTCAATGCAGATGTGTAAAGGCAGAAATCAACGTAGTTATCTATGTGCTCACATCAGTCACGGGTGTTCTTCTGTGTACGCTTACGGTGTTAGACATCGCGGCCTTCAGTGCCGCACGAGTGACCGCATTCAGTGTCTCGAGGCTACTTTGTCTCCGAGGCTCCATCTCATTGCTCGGAGCAGCCGGAGTCAATCTGGTGAGTTGCATCTTCTTGATTCTGCAATCGTACGCCCCAGTTCGCTGTTACAGGCTGGACTTGGTATCAGCATTATCTTCAGTACTGCCAGTGATACCCTTAACTCTCGTCGCCAATGAAGCGAGGTGGATCATAGCTACGTGGAAGGGTGATAGCCCTGCAATGATTTGGTCGCCATGTGGCTTACGAATCCTCGCTGCCTTGACCGTTTTGGCGACACTGGTGACTGTGCTGCTGGCAAACAAGCAAGGAGCCAGTCCTTGCAACATGTTGCGCTTTTTCATTCTTGGATTAGCATGCTGCGCTTCTTGCTGTTCGCTTGCAAGCAGCATGCTGCGCCCGTGCACGAACCGGCAGAGAGCCGCATTGTCCTAGCATGCGGTAGAAACTAAGACTTGCAAGCCAGCCTACAGCTGGTAAACTCATTTCGTGCTCAGGGTTCGGCGCTGTCAGTCTTAAGCTGTGGCCGCTGCTGACCCTTCCGTGTCCCAAGACGTTGGATTGAGGATATCGAGTTTCACGTGGGGTGAGGTTTCACGATCAGTGCCGTTCCTGCGGCAGCATTTATAAAAAATCAGCTTTGCAGGGTTGCATGTACGACCGGCACGAAGTTCGATCATGGAACAAGCATAGCTGGAAGTTTTTGTGTGAAGCAATGAGTTTCAGATGTCGCAGTCATGCTTTTTCAAGCTGAATGCTTAGGCCTAGGCTCGAAGATTTGAGATGCGCTGTCAGCCGTTACCAATCGTGAAGGCAAGTGAAGGCACCAGCATCAGCATCACAGCATTGACATCACAGCATCAGCCCCAAGACGAGCATCCGGAGCCTCAGAACGAGCATCCAGCGCTTGTCGTAAGATTACACCATCTTGCGTAGCTTGTGTCGGCATGACAACGGATCTGGAAGAGAGCTTGGCCCAGTTGTGTAGCTCTTTGTCAGTATATTTGCAGGTAAGTTCGAGGGTCTGTGCAAGTAGTTGTGTTTGTGCTATACGTGTATGTATTTTATGCGTATGTATGTACCACGCATTGCTGCTCCTATCGGTTCCTACAGCTGCACATTGCGAGTTTTGTATGGTCAGCCGTGCATGCATACATTCGGAAGCGTAAGAGGTTCACCGCCGGATGCGAACATTTGCTGATGCAGCTGCTGTGTCGATGGCTGTTTCTCAATGGATAGGAAATGCAAAGACGGTTGCGGGCCATTATGTATCTTAGGAGTGCCGTCGACAGTGGTCTGTGCATTTTATCAGTGTGAGACCAAACAACCGATTCGATTGCCTGCACATGAATTGTTCATGCTTGGACGTTTGATTCTGGAGCATCTCTTTTGCCTTGAACTTGTTATTCAAGGCTTCGAAGCCAAACCCGAAATTCTAGACCAGTGAGATTGTGGCCGTGCCGCACCATGGCGGTCTCTCGCAAAGCCTGGGCAAACACGTCGCTTGGCAACAAGGTTTGTGCTGTTCAGAAAGAGCGGCTAAAAGTTCGGAAGGAGGTCGTAAGCTGGGGTTTAGAAATTTGGTTTCGCGGTTTGAGGGCTTGAGAGGAGGCCGGGCTCATGTCGAGTGTTGCCCTCGTCGGCCCACACAACCTTCGCAAGTTCCACTCGGGCAGGAGCTCACCTGCCGGCTCGTTACGGGCAGAAGCTCTCCCAAACCATGTGGATCTAGTGTCGGGGTGCATTGCAGGAGGCCCTTCATAAGGGAATGAAGAGCCCGAGCCCACCCTTGAATATTGTGCATTGTGACCCTCGCCTACTTATCCAGCTCTCAACTCGTCAGGTTTTTGTCAATGTCTCGATGTGTAAGATGAGTTGTCAGCAGGACGTTGTGCTGAAGGCCTAATACTGCCCTAAGCCTTTGTAACTGTTGTGCTATATAACTTCATGGAATGGTCTTTGTTGAGGAAGCGGTGTTGCGCTCAGAGGTCGAGGACTCTGCAGTACCATGCAGTACCATGGCCATTGTTGTTTTTGTCCTGTGGTACTTCCTGAATCCATCCGAAACCTTGGGCACAAGCGGCAATGAGCAGCTCCAATAGTGACGTCCCTTCCTGGTGACGTTTCTATATATGCTACTGCTAAACCTTAAGCCCTATCTCCCCTCCCACTCAACTCCCTGCACTTGACTGTCCAGGAAGGCTGGGGCTCAAAAAAAAGTGCTGAGCCCAACATTCCCTGAGCCTTTGAGGCCCTGAAGCCCAAGAATACCAGTAACAAAGCCGCTCAAGGCCCTAAATTAGGCCCAAAAATACCAGTAAAACCCTGCCCTGAAGCCGTAGAAGCCCTGCGTCCGTAGCCTTAAGGTACGGCACCTTCACCAGCCTCTTGCCGGCCCGGGCCCAGCCTCCCAAGACCATGATGAAGGACGGTTTGGGGTTTGGGAAAGTAGAGGACCCTAATATAGCACCCTAAATCGTAAGATCGTGATTGTAAGGACACCAAAATAAGGTACCCCTTCTTTTCAGTTAGTAGAAGGTTTAGGAGGCTGGGGGCTCCGGGATCATCATCTTGAAGATAGCGGCTTAGGGTTTGGGGTGGGTCCTTCTACTCGCGGTTCCCTCACAAATCTCAGTCCCAAAATATGGGGCTCAAGCTGCTCTTGGAGGCTCATTCTTGCCCTTCACCGCGATGCATTGCTAAAACCCATTTGCTGATGATACTGGGGTGCATTGTGTGCAAGGGTTGCATGACAACAATGTAGGCTGATTGCACCACGTGTGCGTTGAAGATGGACATGTGCGTCAGTTTTCCGTTCAGACCACCCCTGAACCCTGAACCCTAACTACTAAAAAACGCCTGAACTACTCATTGTTGTTCGTTGCTTGCGGGAGGCAGAGCTGCTAAGCTTCATCGAGGAGGTGTACACGGCGCAGTACAACCAGGACTGCTGCAGAGTTTCCGAGCAGTCACGATCTTCCCTAAACCCCCCTGGAATGCCGACGCTCTTGTAACGATGTAGACCCTGAGCGAAGTGCGCTGAGTGCAGCAAAGCGTAGGCTATGGGAGTGCGCAGAAAGAAGAAGCCGGAGCCTTACCACCACAAAGTACAGCCCAAGGCCTTCTGACCTGTCAGGATTGAGACATTAGGGTCGAGGACTTAGTGTTCGGCTCATGTTCCACATCTGCCTGCGTCCACCCGTCAGCTTCACCGTGCAAGTGCAAGGCTTCCGAGCGACTTGACCTGCTTCCCTCAGTGCGCCTCTCACCTTGCTGTTGCAGAGTGCGTGTGGAGTGAGGTGGAGAAACGTGCATGTGTTATGAACTCCAGTGAAGCCATCCTTATCCGCGCTACATAGAGCAAAACAGAAACTGTTGTGTCACAGAATACCGGCTGCTACTGTGCAGCAGTACACAAGGACGCACAGGGTGAAGCACACACTTCAACCTCGACTTTGCCAGGTCCGTGGTGACTGTCGCAGGCCGTCGTTACGGACTGCCGAATATGGTGGGGCAAGTGTGCTGGAATGTAGCAAAGAGTGCTGGGGCCTTGGCAGGATGCGGTTTGAACATGGGATATAGCGAAATTGAGGAGAATGAGCTGCACTCATGACACATGTGTGAGGGTTTGGGGAGTTTAGGGTTTTAATGCGTGGTGGTGGGGTGAGTTCACGAGTTTCCTTGAGCTTTTCGCGCTGACGGCAAGGTCGCACTGTACCGGGCAGACCATGAGGGCATCGAGACCTTTGCGCGCTTCCTGGAGGAGATGGGTTCAGGGCTAGTTGCGAACAGGAGTTCATGTTTAGGGCGGTGGAGTTTGGGAATGTTTGGGATTTGTAAATTTGTAGGGTTTAGGGTTCATAAAGGATTGTTGCGTGGGATGGAACCCAGTGATCAACAGCCATTTTCAGCCCAACGTTCCTTCCCGTCTTCTGAAGCAAGCAGTGAGCGAGTGACTCACTCGCCTAAAACGTCGGCCTCTAAGTAGCCCTAACCTCTAAGGGCCTAAGCTAAGTTACGAAGCCCTGAAGCAGCGGGGCCCAGGAGTGCTACGACACCGCGGATGCCCTTTTCTATCTGAAGATGCGCTGCGCAGCGCGCCAGGCCGCAGGGTGGCCGAGGTCTGCTGGTTCTGGTCGACTTCTGGCCGCAGGGGTTTAGTTCTTGAGGTTTAGGGCCTTGTATGGTTTGTAGTTGTTTTGGTTGGTTCTTTGTTCAGCCTTACGCTGCACGCTGGCGCCCCAACACCCGAAGACTTGGCATCTGGTTTTCAGGTTTCGGATGCAAGTGCCCCAAGCGTAGACCCGACGATACCACCCAAAGCCCTAGCCCGACAGCCCCAGAAACACAAAGCCCGAAAACAAACCAAAGGGCAAGCCCAGGCCCCGAGGCCTTCCAACCCGCATGAGGACCTAAACCCAGAACTAAACCCTAACTCCTTACATGGAGGTTCATGGGTAGAAATAAGTGGGATTGTAAGTAGGGTAACTTGTAAGTAGGGTAACTTTACGCATAACTCATGTTAAGGGACTTATAAACCCCACTTTGGGTTTCTCCCAGGGTTGAGGGTTATTGATGGCACGCCTTTCATAGGGGCGCATCACGTAGTCACTGTGCGGCTTGTCAAGGATGGAGCTTTCAGAGCACCGTAAACCCTAAACCGTACCCTAAGGGAACTGGGGGTTGACGACGTTGCTTCATGCCGAATTTCCGCAAGCTTGCAGGGAGCAGTCTTAACGGCAGCCACATGTTGTGTGGCAAAGCAAAGCGAACAAAAACTAAATATTCACGCTGAGGCGGTGGGGGGCGTGGGCGGGGGTAGCATGGATGGATGTATATATATATATATATATATGTATATATGTATATATGTATATATATATATGTGTATAAACTATGTATGTATGCATGTATGTACCTATGTGTACATATTTAGACATACATACATACTTCGTGCTAGTTAATGCAGACCGCAATACCTTCCCTTACGACCAGACGGATGGTCGAGGGTTGTTGTGCAGGTGTCGAAGACGTCCGTGCCAGCTGGAGCGCGACCGCAGCTGACGCTGAAGAAGGCCCGCAGTGCGGCAGAGGTGCAAGGCTGACGTAGGGTGTAGGGCTTGGGGTTTCCGGGTTGAGGCCGTGTTTGGGGGTTTTTGGGGGTTTAGGGGAGGGTTTGGGGATGTTTGGATTTTTTTAGTTCCAAGTTTGTGAAGGGATGATCTCTTGCCGGTCTTGGGAGTCTCAAAAAAGCGGTGCGTTGTTGCAAGGTGCTCCCCGAACTTTCTGCCCCCATTTCTGTCAACCCCTGCCATGTTTTCTGGTGAGGCGGTCAGGTGACTTAGGCTCAGATTGTAGCAGACTGGCGGATGCGGAAATGGGGATATAGGTCATTTTCAATCCAGGTATGGCTGCTGCAGGTCCAAGACTATGCA